ACTTGTACTGTATGTTCTTAAATGCACTATTTTTAGTAGTATATCAAGTTTTGCTAAATTATATAAAAAAGGTTTCAGTAATACTTAACTTTTGCATTACAGTACACTATTCTTACAGTAGTGTACAGAACACCAATTCTGTTCTTTCTTAGTAAGGTGGTAGTCATCAAGGTGTGGGATGCTAGACAGTAGTGGTCACCTTGTTGTGTCTGGTCCATCTATCTTGTACACCAACCACCTGCAACATGATTATATTTGTTTTTAGATACTCTACATCTGAATTAATTAAGCTATTTTATATCACTACCAATACACAATATTGAGGTTAACTTGTACTGTATGTTCTTAAATGCACTATTTTAAGTAATATATCAAGTATTGCTAAATTATATAAAAAAGGTTTCAGTAATACTTAACTTTTACATTGCAGTACACTATTCTTACAGTAGTGTACAGAACACCAATTCTGTTCTTTCTTAGTAAGGTGGTAGTCCTCAAGGTGTGGGATGCTAGACAGTCGTGGTCACCTTGTTGTGTCTGGTCCATCTATCTTGTACACCAACCACCTGCAACATGATTTGGATTTAGATCAATCTTAATTAGCCTTAATGTATTACTACCAATACACAACATTTACTCCAGAATTTCTTGGAATCTAAACTTGCATTCTTATATATATGTGATATATCCATACACTCAAACACCCTCCTATATCACCTTACACAGGAGCATTGTCCTTCTCACTTTTGGCTGCAGCAGTCTTCATCTAGGCATCATCCCCCACATGCCTTCATAGTACATGCTATTTTTTGCATCACATTTTTAACATGCACTCCATTCACCATTGCTTGAGCACACCACCATCCATGCATGAGCGCCCCCACTGTACGAGCGCCCGTCCACTATACGAGGCCCCCACCCCCACTGTACGAGGCACCCACCCCCACTGTACGAGGCGGCCCCCCCCCCATTGTACGAGCGCCCCTGCACTGTACGAGCGCCCCTGCACCGCCCAATGCTCCTCCTTTCCAACCCTTCACACAAAGTAAGTCCCTTCTCTCGAGTCTTACTTCCAGTAGTTTTTGGGGATGGCCATACTAAGATACCTAAGTAATTTACCTAAGAAGGCTGAAGTAACATGATGGGTGTTACATCTTGCTCAAGGTGTCGGTCACTTCCTCTACATTGGCATTCACGTACGTCAGCTGTCACCTGCAACATGTTTAAAGTTGTAATTTATGTACAATGAAGATTAAACATACAATTTCCATCTACCACCAGACTACATGTACTTGTACTGTCCCCAATTGTTTACTTAAATACCTTATCTACAAAAGATCTTATTTTAAGTTGCATTAGTGTTAGTTTTCTTATTTCCTCAACTAACATTTACCACAACAATAGTATTGCCAATCATAACAAGCCTTCATCACCAATTCTGCTACACTACTAAATCTCTCCACACTGCTTCATAGACAACACACTTACTGAATCCTCCCTCCCTTCCTCCCACCCCTCAAGCCCCCTTAGGTGTTCCCCTTGACAACTTGGTCACATTTAGCTTGAATGAAAAACTTTACCAACACACCCAACTTATAGTATACACCTGCTCACCCCATATGCCAATACACAAGCCATATAGTCCCCTACCCTGATTACAACAAGCCACACAATGTTTAATGATTTCACAAGTCCCACAAGCTTCCCTTGCCTAAATAAAACTCATTAAGTTGACTTTACCTGTTCTGGCATTTTAAGTTATTTCTCCTTAGGTTCAGTATGATGTTACTTCTGGCCAGCTTAACCTGAGGAGAAAGTCAGTACAGTACACGATTAGATTTTGAAAAGGAAACTGCAAAGTACGCAAGCTATTGATCTTTAATAATTTAAACAAGTGAAATATTTTTCTAGCTTAACTTTCTGAATTCATGATTAGTTAACTTGTGGCAAATTTTAAGTTACATTCTTTAATATATTTGTTATCCAATATATAAACCTATATAATAGGTAACTTAATATTAATTTGGGTCAGTCTAGATTAGTTACATTTAATCTATGTTAGGCTGATTAGGTTAGTTAATTTGTTAGTTAAAACCCACCTACTAACAACCAGCTTTACTTACTATTAATCACATTACTACTACTAATGCTCACTAATACTGTAACTAATTGGCATTTAGTCCTGTACATTTTTATAGCACTTTATTAAGCTTTCCCAAATCTCTACAGCTAATCTTAATTTAACTCCCAGCTTAGTCTATCTAGACAGCTCTCCAGAGCCCGTTGTAAAATTGCAGTTTCGTCCAATATGCCCTCGTAGTTTAGAAATTAGTTTATCCTGTGTATTTTGGGTCGATTCAATGGAATTTGACCTTTATTTCCAGGGGAAAGCACCCTCTTTAAAATTATACCCCCCCCCCCCCCAAAAAAAAAAGCATGGAAATCTTTAATCCTCATTCTGACATTCTTTGCTCCCTGGTTGAAATGGTGTTAGAAATACTTCAATAAGGAGATCTGAAGGTTGGGGATGGTTAAAAGTCAGGTGTGTACTGGCCGAAACTGCAATAATACCGAGCCCTCCAACACACAGTCCTCCAGAGCCCTCCAACACACACACAGTCCTCCAGAGCCCTCCAACACACACACAGTCCTCCAGAGCCCTCCAACACACACACACACACAGTCCTCCAGAGCCCTCCTACACACACACACACACACACACACACAGTCCTCCAGAGCCCTCTAACACACACACACACACAGTCCTCCAGAGCCTCAACACACACACACACAGTCCTCCAGAGCATAACCACCCCCACACACACACAGTCACTCCAGAGCCCTCCAGCACACACACACACACACAGTCCTCAGAGCCGCCTTCCCCCACACACACACACACACACAATCCTCCCAGAGCCCTCCAACACACACACACACACACACACACACACACACACACACAGCCCTCCAGAGCCGCCTTCCCCACACACACACACACACAGTCCTCCCAGAGCCACTCCAGCACACAGTCCTCCAGAGCCTTCCAGCCCCAAACACACACACACAGTCCTCCAGAGCAGCCTGCCACACACAGTTCTCCCAAAGCCACTCCAACACACACGCACAGTTCTCCAGAGCCGCCTCCAACACACACGCACACAGTTCTTCAAAGCCCTCCAACACACACAGTCCTCAGAGCCACTCCCAACACACACAGTCCTCCAGGCCTTCAACACACACACACAGTTCTCCAAAGCCCTCCAACACCTGATTCTCAGGGCCCTCCCAACACACACACACACACAGTTCTTCAGCCCTCCTACACACACGCACACAGTTCTCCAAAGCCCTCCAACACACACACACACACACACAGTTCTTCAAAGCCCTCCAACACACACAGTTCTCCAGGCCCTCCAACACACACACACACACACACACACAGTTCTCCAGGCCAGCCCTCCAACACACACACACTCAGTTCTCCAGGGCCCTCCAACACACACATAGTTCTCCAGAGCCCTCCAACACACACACACACTCAAACACAGTCGTCCAGAGCTCTCCAACACACACACACAGTCGTCCAGAGCTCCCCAATACACACACAGTCGTCCAGAGCTCCCCAATACACACACACAGTCCTCTAGAACCCTCAACACACACACACACACACACACAGTCCTCCAACACACACACACACAGTCCTCCACACCACACAGTCAGCCAGGTCCCACACACACACCCTCCACTGCCCAGTGTAGGAGCACAGTGTTGAGTGGTTTATGGGCTGACCATAATAGCTAAGATAATATATAAGTAACTTAACTGATGAGGCTGAAGTAACATGCTGGGTGTTAAATCTTGCTCAAGGTTCTGTCACTTCTCCATTGGCCTTCAAGTGCACCAGCTGTCACCTGCAACATGCTTAAAGTTGTAATTTACGTAGAATGAAAATCAGACTTGCAACTTCCCTCTACCACTAGACCACGTGTACTTAAACTGTCCCCAACTGTTTACATAAATCATTACCTCCACATTAGTTTACTCAAATTACGTCTCGCCAACACCAATACAGTACCACTACACTATACTGCACTTCACATTTCGACAAGGCTTCAACACTATAGTTTTGGCGCTTTTTGGTTGTTGATCAATGTGTTTTTCCGATGGTAAAATCCATGGTTGTCCACTTTTAAAAATTTACCAGGCACCCTTAATGTTACTGAATTTAATATATACTGTATTCTGAAACACGTCGACCTTCTGAAACGTCTCGCCCTCCGCCGGCTCCCTGCCTCACCTCGCCAAGCTTCCTGCCTCGCCTCGCCTCGCCTCGCCCGGCTCCCTGCCCTGCCTCGCCTCGCCCGGCTTCCTGCCATGCCATGCCTCGCCCGGCTCCCTGCCCTACCCCACCTCGCCCGGCTCCCTG